TACTAACTTATAATATTATATTTTTATCATTAAAAAAATAAATAAATAAATATATATAAATATTTGTATTAAATTTAACAACTTTGAATCTGTTTATGAAATAAAAAATAACAATAAATATTAAATATATTGTTTGTTTCTTGCAAAAAATGACGGTAATATGCTAGGCCAGAAATTGGAAAGCAAAGCCAACTACTGGCAAAAACTAATATATTAATAAAGTTACGAAAATTTAAAATTTTTTTTAAAAAAAAACTGTTTCTAACTTTGTTTATTATTGCGAAATCAAAACAATATTTTGATTAAGAATGAATTAATTTTAATGTAATTGCAAAATTCCACTCAAGAAGAGTAGTGAAACTGACTGGCGAGAATCATCATCCAGACGAAACAGCTGAAATCAGAATCTTGAAATTTTGCGCGAAGCTCTTCGTACTAAAAGGGTACGAAAAGTACTGAAATGTACTAGGTTTTTTTTTTTGGAAATTCGTAATTTAAGGTTACAAAAAGTTCTAAAATGGTACCATTTGTTAAGAGGTGGTTTTGGAAATGTGTACTACAAGTATACGAAAGTACTAAAATGGTACCATATTTGGGTTCGGGTGAAGGGGTAGACATAAAATTCTGAAATTTGAAAAGTAATAATTGTTTGCATCTGAGGTTGAGATTGGGATATGGGTTTAAAAATATGTACTATAATTGTCTGAAAAATAGTAAATTGTACTAGATTTGGTATTGGGTGAAGCGAAAGTGCTTGAACGCTGAAATTCTAATTGCGGAAACTGTTGGTGTCTTGGATTGAGATATCGAACGGTTTTGCAAATGCGAACCACATTTTCTACGAAAAGTACTGAATGGTACTAAATTTGATATTGGGTGAAGGAATAGGACTGGAATTCCCAAATTAGATACGAATGTCACAGTTGGTGTCTGTTGAGGGGGGAAGGAGCTGCTTTTGGATATGCGTACAATAATTGAACTAAATGGTACTAAATTTTGTAATAGGGGGAATTGAAATTCTAAATTCTCTAAAATTCTGAAATTTGGTATGGAGGTCTATTTTGGTATGAAGGTGGTTTTGGAAGTGTGTACTATAATTGTAGGAATCGTACTAAATAGTACTAAATTTGGTATTGGAGGAAGAAATAGAGTTGAATTCCTAAAATTTGATATTGAGGAATCTATTGGTATCTGGAGGTGGCTTTGCAAATACGTACCATAATTCTTCGAAATGTACTAAATTTTACAGAATTTTGGTGAAGAGATAGAGATAAAATTCAGAATTTTGATATTTACATAAATGTTGGTATCTGAAACTGAAATTTAGCGTTTGTTTTGAAATGTGTCCTATATTTGTACGAAACGTCTTTTTTGAATGAATGGAATTGAAATATGATGGTGGTTTTGGAAATGTGTGCTATAATTGTATTAAATAGAACTAAATATGGTATTTTGCGAAGAAATATGGCTTAAATACTGAAATTTGATATTGAGGTCTCTATTGGTGTCTGGTGGTGGTTTTCCAAATAAATGTTCGAAATGTACTAATTGGTACTAATTTTTGATCACTATTGGTGTCTAGAATTGAGAGATTTAGAAAGATTGTTTTGAAAATGCTTACCAAATGTTACTAAATTTGGTATTGAGTGAAGGAATAGAACTGAAACTCTGAACTTTGATATGGATGTTTCCAGGGTTTACATATGAAGAATTGGGTTTGGATCCTCCTCGCTAAGCTTCAAAATATGAGTTTTTGAAGACTTTTTGGTGTAAAACTGTAAATATTTTCCTATTATCCTTTCTGAGAAACTGAAAGTCCTGGAAAAATATATAAACCCTTGAAATTCTGGAAATTTACTACGATATATAAAGTTTTTATAAAATAATTTTGTAAAACTGAACAAACTGCATTTCGGGTGCTAAAAAGGCGTAACAAGAAGTGTTTGGAACGAATCTAAAAATTTGAGGTGAAATTTTCGAGTGGAGGGAAATTGCTAATTATAAATATTTTATGTTAAAATTCTTTTTTAAAGAGGTCTTTTGATGTTTCAAGAAGTCCCTGTTGAAAATTTGTAAATTATAACATATTTTTTTTTCTTAAGAATATGCATTGTTATGTTCGTGCTGAAGGACATTCGTAGAAAAAATGTAAATTTTAATAGAATAAATTATCTTTCTTTTGCGAAATTTTACATGCAAATATCTGACTATATATTCAACGTCAATATACAATTCGTTTTTAAATTTTGTTACAAAAAGTCTTATTTATTTGAGGTAAAATATAAAAAATGTCGACTACTGGAACATGATGAACTTAGGAGCCCTTATCCTACCTTGTTTTCTTAATTTCTTTTAAGCAATCATAAATTAATCCTCTTGTAATGGCCTTCTCAATTTATTATTTTATTTAAGTTAAATTAAATTCAAATAGGTACATATTTTTAAATTTATTTTATATACCTATTTTTTTATTTTTTTATTTCATTTCTAATAAATATATAAACAAATAGTTCCGAATGAAAAATATTATTTAATGGAAATATAAGAATAATATTCGATTTATATTAATTTTTTATTTGCAAATCATTAGTTATTATCTTATCTTATAATACCCTTTTCAATTTATTATTTAGTTTTTCTTGAATTAAATTCAAATACATAGGTACTTTCCAATATATCTTCTTTACTTTTCTTTACATCATTTTTTAATCCAAAATACAGTATTTTTTCTATTTAAGATTTCTTCAATTCCAAAGTTGCTTGCTCTCTCTACCATCCAAGTGAAAAGTAATTGGCGACGGTTTAGTTGTTTTATTTTTGGGTTGTATTATTGAAGAGAACTACATTCTCATTGAGAAATTCACCACTGTTGTGAGTTGTGGCCAACTACTACAACTACTGTTGGGCGCCAGCATAATGAGTGTGTGTGTGCGAAGGAGAGGTAAACATGGCTGCAATGGTTCTTTGTGGTTCATGAGTTGGTTATGCCCTGAAAGAGAGAGAGGGAGAGCATACATTTGCATGATAACAAAGGGAATAACATGAAATTAGTTATTCGATTTAAACGATTTTAAGGAAGAAATAAATTTATAAAAAATATAAGAAAATAATAAATGGAAAATAGGTAAAATATAAAATGTGAATTTAGGATTTTAAGACATTTTATTTGTTGTTTTTTTCTCTGTTGACCGTTATTTTTGTGCTTCCCCTTTACTCATCTCCAAATGAACTCATTTTCCTTTTTACCATGAAAAGAGAGTAGTTTTATGTTTATCGCCATGAGTGAGTTAATGAGACTTTTGTGTGAGTCTAACTCTCCCACTCAAATCAACATAATTTTTCTCACTCACACAAAGAGAGTGAGAGAGAGTGTTGAGCATAAATCTCCTAATAGAGTAAGAAAATGATGTTGAACAGATAATTTGCTGAATAATTTTTCATGTTTTTTTTTGCCGTTTTCCAATTGGAATTATTGAAATGCCAAGATAAGGATAATTCATTTATTGAGAGGAAGAGAGAGTGTGTGTGGGTCTTATCATTTTTAGAATTTTTCTTGTTGCTTTTTTTTTTTTTTACAGATTATAATAATGCTGCGAGTGCCATTAAACAAAACAATGTTGGTGGCTTTTATTTGATTTATTTGCCAAACCAATGACAACAACAAAAACAACAAAGAATTCAATGGTATTTTATTGGTTTTTGATGTTGTTGTTTCAAGATTTAGTGTCCCTTGGCCACCTTCACCATTGTTGGCCGCCGTCGCAAAAAATGTCTACTTGACGCATCTTATCGTGGCCATATCGTACCGTCAACGCCACTGTAAACATTATTCACGTTGTGTCGCTGCTATTGTTTTCATTTTGGCCATGTATCAGTATCGTGTATCTTAGACATGCTTGTTGGCTGGTTGGCTCCTTTTGCTTTTGTTTTCATTTTCTGAATTTCTTATGAGCAGAGTGCGCGCAAAAGGTGGTTAGAGTGTGGCCAACAGCTCTGCGACGCCATATTTATGCCAAATACGACGGCGAAGTGGAAGTGGACGAAAAAGAAGCAAAGGAATCTGAATCTGTGTCTTTGGCCGGGCCGGGGCGCTCCATACCGCGCCGCGCGCCATCATCACTCAAATTCCACACACCAACAAAAGACAACACATAAACTTTAACAACAACAACACCAACAACAAAACGTCAACGGCGGCATCGTTCCAACTGACGGCTGAAGGTGGAATTATCCAAAACTTTGTGTGTGGTGTCATTGTTAATGCAAATGTCGCGCGTTTTCGAACTGATTTGTGAGAGGTCCCAGAACGCGGGTGAATCCAGCAGCAGCAACAACAACAACAGCCACAGCCAACATTCAACTGTCGATGACGCCGTTTTTATTGTGAAACTGCCCCATAACCGCACATCATCACATCGCATCGTATGTGTGTAGCCATACCATACCCTGCTCCTCATCATCGCCATCACCATCCCAACCCATTCCATCCCATCCACCATCATCGTCGTGGTAGTCGTCGTCGTAGTCGTGGCAGTCATCTACCCCCGGTCGCTGGGTCTTGTGTCTGAGGCATGTTTTTGTGGAGTAGTGACTAACTACCAGCACCAGCACCAGCCTGTATGTGTGTGCCTGACGTTTCAGTTTGGTTCGGTTTCGTTTTGTTGTTGTTGTTTTTTGGCTGTGCAGAGCTTGCGAGGCGAGATATTCTAAGTTCAATTCCTTTGGCCAGAGATTTTGTGGTATTTGTTTGCCTTTCTGTTTGTCGTTTGACGTCTACACCAAAACTTGTCGGCGACAATCTACAGAAGTAAGCCTAAGCTTATCGCTCGCGTGTGATTTTGCCGTCGCGTTGTCACCAAAAGAAACAAAACACAGAAAAAAACAAAAACAACCGTTAAATAGACGTATGGGAAATATTTAAAAAATATATTAAAAAAAAAAACAAATTGTGTTAAAAAAAAATTAAAAAAAATAAAAAAAATTTGAAAAGTGTTTTGAAAATTAATTTAAAAAAAATAAATAATCAAAATAATATTTTTTCAAACAAATCAACAATTGTTTAAAAAATCAAAATTGAAATTGTCTGCACTTAAGCCTGTCAAATCAAAGCTGAAATATTCAACAACTAAATCTCCGGACGTTGCTGTTAATTAAAAGTGAAGTCTCTCGCTCTCTATGAAGTAAGTGGTACCGGGCCGACGCGCTTCCTTCTTCCATCGTCCACGACATTGACGACTTTCGTCCATTTAACGCTGGTGATTATTTTTCCACAAACAACAGCAACAACAACAACAACAACGACCAGTGCGAAATGTCATGTTAAGTTTAACGCGCTATGCCGCAATGCCATTACGACTGTCATAAGCATTTGTTAAACTGTTTAAATGATTGCTTTGGTGTTGTTCTTGTTGTTGTTGTTGCGAATATAATTTACGAATGCCAGAGTTTGTCATGTGTGTGTGTGCGTGTATGTGTTTGTTTGATGTATGATGAATGAGTGAATGATGAACTGACTAACTGGCGGACTACTTGCCTGCCTGGCTGGCCGGCTTGGCTTGACTTGTAAAGAAAGCCCAACTTCCTTTTACAGCCCGTCCATGCTTGGATTTGATTGCTTAATTGGACCCATGTCACATGGAATCAAATTAGAAATTTACCATAGGTTCGGTCGCATCTGAAAAGATTTTGATCTTCAAAAGGATTTTGCCAGTCGCTGTTCAGATTTTGTTATGGTTTGCGGTAATTGTAAGTGTGTTTGGAAAAAGGAGCAAAATTTTGGATTTGAGAGACTAGGGAATTTGTGCTAAGAGGTTCTCAGTCGATTTAGGCGAGACTCTATGAAGGTGCTCCTAGCCTATATACAAAGACACACATGCCAAATATTGTCAGCAGCTGTATTTAAACTTCGGAGGGTCTTTGACTTGAAATCGAAATATAAGTTTCGACATGTAAATCTGAATCAATTCGAGGAAGAATTTTCTATACCGATTCGAGTTCAAGTTGCAAATATGAAATTTCACACCAACTTTCTTTCAGATTTTAAATATTTAATGGTGTTTTTTTGTGGTGACGTGGTCAGAATTGGCTTTAAAAGCCATTTCGGGGCCTGAGAGATAAAAAATATTTTTTTTTTAAATTAAAAATTTACCGGTTCGAAGCAGACTCGGATAGCAGGATCTACATCGGAGACCTTAAAAACAATGCACATTCATGTGAGCTTTAACAGATTCTGGTCGATCTTTTAGGTAATAAAGATATATGAAAGAAGTGGCAAGTCAAATATGGGGAGATGGGGCCCTATGGCCCTACCGCCAAAAAATTCGGATTTTCGAAAAAAAAGGCTTAAAAATATCCAAAAATTTACCATTTCGTGGGCTTCTTGGACCCTAGGGGTAAATTGCAACTCAACTTTTAAATCTTATAAAATTTACACATGTACCCTTCTGGAAAAATAAATATTGACTACTTCGAAGCAGACCCGTTGCCCTGCTATCTACATCGGAGACCTTAAGAACAATATACATTCATGTGAGCTTTATCAAAATCTGGGTCAACTTTTAGGTAACAAAGGTTTGTAAAATATATTGTAATCCAAATATTTGGGAGATGGGATGACCTACCGCCAAAAAATCGAATTTTCAAGAAAAATGCCTTAAAAATATCTAAAAAATTACCATTTCAGAGAGGGTTCGGGTCTCCTGGACCCCTACCTACCTACTGTAAAGTACAACTCAATGTTGAAATCTTATAAAATGTAAAGTTTTACCGTTTTGAAAAACAAGCCCCATTTCCAATATAACCTTTACGAATTGCTATAGCCAAGCAAGGGCTTCATTAAACTTTACATGGGAAACAGAAAACTTTTGCTTAAAAAAGGAATTATGGTGGTGACGTGTTTTTTTAACAGCTTCGTGGAAAATCAATCGACCCTCGACCAAAAAATATGGCACAAAACATTCCTGAATGACATTTTCACGTTTTGTGTGTTTGGGCGCCATTGCGAAATCCAATCTTTAATAGAGAATTTCGCCCAAAATTTCCCTAAGCAAATTTTTGGAATTGGCCATGTATTGGGCGCCAATTTAAAAAAATATGTCAAGACCCTCTTAGTTTTTATACGAAAAATAACGAATTTTAACTTTAAGTAAAATGGACATATTCGGATTTGAATTCTGAAAGAATAGAACTGAATTAACCAAAAAGACAACGGTGTCGGAATACCCTATCGGGACTCTCGTCTGCAATATATTGCTGATCATAATTTATATAATCTACACGATTTGTGATTTGGGCGCCACTTGTTATCTAATCGACTTTCATAAAACATTCCATCCAAAATTCTTTAATTTATGCATTTGGCCATGTATTGGGCGCCACTTAAAAAATACGTCAAGATCCTCTAAGTTATTATGCAAAAAATATTGGATCTTTACTTGGAGTGAGGGATATTGGACAAATTTGGATTTAAGTTCTGACAAAATGGAACTACGCGACACTCGACTGCAACGCGACACTCGACTGCAATATATTGCTGGAAATAACCCATATATCATCTACCCGATTCGTGATTTGGGCGCCGGTGGTTATCTAATCGACTTGATTATAAATTTGGGCGCCAGTTCAAACATTTATGGAGAATCTCTAAAATTTAAAGCAAATAAAGAATCTTAACTTGAAGTGGGGGCAATAAAATAATGAACTGGAATCAAGTACATTATTGCGGATAAGATGTTCGGGCTACAAAATATTTCATCAATATTTCAGCTATATAATTCATTCGGCATTTTTTATTTGGGCGCCATTGGGCAATCAATAGACTTTCATTAAAATTGTCATCCATATTTCTGTGAGTGATTTATGTATTTAGCTATGTATTGGGCGCCAATTCCAGCATTAATGGAGATCTTTTGAATTTAGATGCAAAGAAGGCTCTTAACTTGGAATGCGGGAAATTGGTTTAATATGGGATTTCGGATTCTATTGGTGACAATATTCGATTCGAATTCTGAAAAAATGTATTGGAATCAATTATTAAAAAGTAACTCGACTCTCGGCTGCAAAATATTGCAGCCAGTGGGCGCCAGTGGTCATCTTCATCATCATCGACTTCCGACTAAAAGAAAAAAAAAAAACAAAATTCAACTTGAATTCTGCAAGATAATTTCGAGAATTTCACCTAAATAATTAAAAGGATTTGTGATTTGGGCGCCAGTGGGATTCCTATCGACTTTCAATAATAATATCAAACCAATAACCCCCAAAAAATGTATGCGTTTGTCGATGTATTGGGCGCCAATTTAACTCAAAAAAAGATATGAAGAACCTCTATATTCATTACGTGGGATGGGAAATTAGAATATCACCTTAGGAGCCAACTCTCAGAGATATTAGAGATGTCGGGAGATATTTGGATTGGAAGTCAGAAAAATTTTTACTTTTTCGAATTTGGATTTATGTAATCTTCCCATACGAAACGACCATTTCACCCACTAGAAAATCTATTTTTCCTCCAGAAATTTATTTAAAAACCACCACAACTTAACAAAAATGTCATCAAAAATGCTGTAAGACCGTGTATGCGATTGGCGGTGTATTGGGCACCACTTTTAAACAACATATACATATGAAGTTCGTCTAAGTTTTAGTACAAAAAAATAATAAATATCAGGGTTGGAGAACAAATTTAAACTAAAAATCAGAAAATTTGGAATTAAATTAAAAATAAATTTTTTGTAGATTTTTCTTTCAAACTAAAACTTTTAAAGAGAACTTGATCTTATTTTATTTACCGTCGTTACATTTTCCATCTATTTTCCGCTTTCAGGATGAGAGTTTTTTTAATCAGCTGACGTCTTTTGTATTTTTCAGTTTCCAATATCCCAAAAGAAATCTTGGTATTTATGGTATTGCATATATTCGCCAACCTTCATGGTGCCCAAATGTATGCAATATTCGAAAATGCATAGATTGATATGTAGATGGCGTCCATTGTAGTATATTGTACTATAGAAGGATATTTTTCTCAGTTTCTAATTCGATTCGAATATATTGGAAACGCTGGCGCCCAAATGGCGTTCCTTTAACACAGTGCACTTTGAATGCATCCAATTCGAGTTGGTATGAATATAAAGGATATTTTTTCTCTGTTTCGAACTCGACTGAGAGAAATATTTCATTTACAACCTTCTCGGCGCTCAAATGTGTCTATCTAGATCTTGAAATCCAAACTAAAATAAAATGTATAATTTGAAATATAGATTGCGTCCTTTATAAAAATAATACTGCACTGTTTACAGGACATTTTTCTCAGTTGCCAAATGGACTGAATGGAATGTAGGAACAAGAATAAATGCTTTTATATTGCATATATTTTCAACCTTCTTGCGCCCACTATGCGAAAAATCACAACTTGAAGAAACATCTAGAAATTAAATATAGATGGCGCCCTTTACAATATATTTCTCATTTTCTAACTCGACTTGGACGTATTTCCCAAAACACAATTTTTTGCAATATTTCATAATGTTCCACTGAGATACCACATGATGTAAATATTTCACATTCCTATGGAAGAGGAAAATATGAAATATAGATGGCGTATTTTATAATCAAAAATATTGTGATAAATAAATTTGGCTTTGGGTCTCTTCCACACTTTTCAACCCAATAATAATCCTAAACAGCTGGCTTTTTTAATTTACAAAATTTCGAAATAATTCTGATATGTTTGGATTTCTCTAAAATATGAAATATAGATGGCGTCCATTATTAAAAAAATGTCTTTGGATGTTTTTCACAGTTTCTAAAACGACTTGGACGTTTCTCTTCATCGGCTTATAAACATAGACAATAGCTTTTTTTAAAATTCATTCTGAGTTATCTACTTTGTCCAGAAATTACGGGTAGGTAGGCTATTGAAAATTTCAAGACCTGTTGGTCAAGTAAGGAATGTCATGATTATTCATGATCTGATCATGATGATCTGAAAGCCAAAATTAGTGGAATTTTGTATGTTCTGGAAGAGAATTTTTGGCGTCCAACAGAAATATTTGAAATAGTTTCGTAGGACCAAATTACGCCAGTTATATATTCCGTAAAATCTTTAATTCCTCTTTCATAGCCTTAGACCCGACATGACCATTTTATACACTTATATTTATGAAGTAACAAATATTTACCATCAAATCTATAAATTTTTCAAGATTTTCTTTGAGTGGAATTATGGGAAATGGGAAATTATGGAATATGGGAAATT